AGCTAGGTGGCTCACGGATGCGCACTAATATCTCGCAGCATGAGGTGGATGGTTTCTTGATCAATCATCAGTACTTGGAGAAAAATTTGGGTTACACTTTCTGCGATCGAGCTTATCTGCTGCAAGCCCTCACACATCCCTCAAATCCCACAAACCGTTTGACGGGTTGCTACCAGGAGTTGGAATTTATAGGCGATGCCATCTTGGATTTCCTAATCTCAGCTTACATATTTGAGCACAAAACTCGTATGACCCCTGGTCAGTTGACAGATCTGCGCTCGGCTCTGGTTAACAATACGACTCTGGCTTGCATTTGTGTGCGCCATCGATTCCATTTCTTCATTCTGGCAGAGAATGCTCTACTCTCTGAATCCATTCAAAATTTCGTGCAGTTCCAGGAGACGCAGAATCATCGCGTTACTAACCATGTACGCATTCTCATGGAGGAGAAAGATGTGCAGCCAGAGCCTCTTGACTCCGATGAAGAATTAGAAATGGCCGAGCTGGCGGCGAAGCAAGCCAAACCTGCAATCAGAGAAGCCGATGCTCCGAAAGTAGGCGAGTTTAACATTTCGCACAACGTCGATGTCCCCAAGGCCTTGGGTGATGTTCTGGAGGCACTTATAGCTGCCGTTTACCTAGACTGTCGCGACTTGAACACCACCTGGCAAGTGGTCTACAAACTGTTTGAGCCCGAACTACTCGAATTCTCGCGTAATGTGCCACTCAATCCGATCCGTCAACTCTTTGAGCACAAGCTGGCAAAGCCCACCTTTAGCTCGCCTGTCATGGACAATAACCAAGTGATGGTCACCTGTCAATTCATCTGCATGGACAAGACCATCAAGGTCTATGGCTTTGGCAACAACGGCAAGCAGGCCAAGTTGTCAGCTGCAAAGCATGCACTCCAAAAACTGGCCAAGTGCGAGGCATAGATCCTTCATTTCCACTTTCAAGTTTTTTCTTTATTTTTTATAATTTTGAATAAGAATATAAAATGTGATTATATAATTCAATGTTATTTATAATATATAAAATATATTTTTATACATTTTTAGGTATACAAGACACTGTATATTTAATTCAATAAAAAAACTATCTTTTAACTATGCTTCATTCCTGCTGTCTGTGTGAAAATACAATAAATGTAATATTTCTATAAACGTTGGGCTCGCGAAAGAAAGGTCTGACAGAGAGAAAATATACAGAATAATTGGAAAGAAATTTAATCGTGTTCTGCCCGTTGCTTATAAGGACCAAGCTAAAGAAAAAATGGGCCTTCTTATCACTTATCCCATTGAAAATGGGAAATCAGGGTATAAAGGTTTTGTTAAATGTATGTAACAAGCAGAAGAATACGTGGCCGAGTCGATTATAATTTTATACCCTGAACCCATTTTCAATGGAAAATCAGGGTATAATGGTTTTGTTAAATGTATGTAACAGGCAGAAGGAGGCGTGCAGACCCCATAAAATATATATATTCTTGATCAGTGCGACGAGCTGAGTCGATTTGGCGCTGTCCGTCCATCTGGCCGTATGTATGAACGCGTCGATTTCAGAAGATATAAGAGCTAGAGACTTAAATTTTTTTAAATGACCTTATATACAGAGCGGATATCGATTTTATCACCAAAACACGATAACTCATCCCGTTATTTTGTTATCGATAAAAAACCGTCTCGAAAACCAGCTATAAAATTATATCTCCTACATCTTTAAAGCTAGTCTCCAAATTTTAAATGTATACTTATATGCATTTCATACCATTTATGCGTGGGTGCTTGTATGTGTATGTGTTTGTGTGTGTGCGTGTTTCTTGTGTAAGCAGAAATACGCAAACAATTATTGAAATAGCTATTGCTCGAAGGGTTCAGGGAATCTCGTAGTCGAGCATTCTCGACTAGAGCTTTCTTACTTGTTTTTGTGTGTGTTTGTGTATATCACGTGCATGCATACGTGCCTGTGGATGCATGTGTGCATAAAATTGGTCCAGAATGATTTCCAATCAGTTCATTGCAGGTTTCAGAGGATCTTGTAATAAAGCAATCTAAACTAGAGCTTCCTTACTTGTTTTTATATGATCATTCGATAGTAACCAAATCTATAACAAGTAAAAAGGCTCCAGTCGAGACTCCTCGACTGCTACGCTCAAAAAATGTGAAAATTACAGGGTATTTTTCGATATATCAAGCCCCCAAAGAGGCGTAAATATTATTTTTGAGTCATCGATAGAGGAGGTAGTAACTTAACTTAACTATCCAAATTTGAAGCTTCAAGCTGTTATGCTTTATGATATATAAACTTTTGCGGTATGCCACGCTCCCTATGGGTGGACATATATCTGTCGAAGCTCTTCCATCTTGGGTGGTCAGCCCGAGTATATATTCAAAAGTTGAGGTCTCTAACATCAATAATGTCCAAAATATAGCAAATTTGCTATACGATTTGCCACGCGGTTCTAAATTCCAAATTTCAGCGTTCTAGCTCTTCAACTAATATGATTTCTCGTATATCGGAAAATGCATCTTTCCATTTGCCATGCCCCTAATGGCCGGATCGGGAAAATTTTAACACTTTGTAGACGAACGGACAGCAAGACGGACATTGCACAAAACCAATATACTAATTCACTTTCGTGAATGAGTATAAAAATTACATATTTTAGAACCATAAAGCGGGTATCCCGAACATGTTCGCCGAGTTTACCTACAAACTATGCGAACATTTTCACAAACATTTTTGCGAACATCATTTAAAAAAAAAAATTTTGCATTGTGAACATGCTAGCTGAAGAAACAAAATCGTGTCTTTAAGCCTTAAGGGCAATACACTTTATTCAAAACAAAAGAAGGAACCTGACTTTGCTATTCTTTATTTTTTGAAAGTTCGCGCCTGTACGAAGCACGCAAGAGAATTTATTTCCGTTTTGACATCAATTGTGGCGTTTTCTTCGACCTCCTTATATTTTAATATTATGTCCCGAGATTTATTGCGCTACTTTTTGACTGTCCCAAATATTTCTAGAAATGATGTTCGTGTGAATCGAATCCATTGTATAAAAAAGCAATTCTAAAATAATAGAATATTTTTCAGCTAATTGTTTCTGGGTTTAGCTTATTTTGGTTTATTTTTGTCCTAAATGTTCATACGAACACTGCTATCCACATTAGAATATTTGACGAACACAACATTTTCGTGTAACAAATTGGAGTGTGGATGCCCCGCTAAATCTGATATATTATTATGAAAAACTATAAAATCAAAACAAACCTCCATTAGTTTTTATAAATTATTATGCTTTTTATTTACGCGTGCACAATTCATTTAAAGTTCTTTACAATTTTTTATTTACAAAATGCTGGGCGCATTCAATGATAACTATCAACGCACGGGGTTTTTGTATTCGCAAATGATGCAGGCCCGTATCTAGAGGCTCGTTGCACGATTCCAGTTATTAATGGTTATTGTTACTATTGGGGCCCGCCACTTGTTTTACAATTATTGAAGTGCTTACAGTTTACATACATATAGTATACGTTAACACTTTGAAAGAAACTTGTACAAATAATTCAGCAATTAAAGGTGAGGAGTCAATTAATAAAAAAAAAAAAAAAAACAAACGAATCAATATTTTGGAATGCCACAAATTGCACTGCGCAGATACGGTTAAACATTTTTTTTTTTACAATAGAGAAAAAATACATTACATACACATATATTAAAACTAAGGCTAATGCGGTTTCGTATCAAGTAGTTAGAGATTAAATGAGATTAATTTGCTCACCTAAACTAATACACAGATATTGTTCAAGTGCATGACCTACAACTTGGGTTAAGCTCTCCTCTTTGCATCATCTATAATCTATCATCTACACCCGACAGGTGCAGTCGGGTTTGTTAATACTGCGTTGTCTTGTTTGTAGATTACGCAGCGCAGCTCCGCCATACTGAATGCCGCTACCAATACGTTCAGGGTCCAATTCTCCCGTCTCTATCTTGGCCAATATTGTCTTTGAACACTTTAGAAATGCCTCCTCCACATTCTCACCTGTCTTGGCGCTCGTCTCCAGGAATATAAGCTCTGAAATATACAAATCATTTATTAGTATTGATTCATGGTTAGTCATGATTAACAAACCATTTTCCTGCGCAAATGTGCTCGCCTCTAGGAAAGTGACATCACGTGCCTCCTCCAGATCCTTCTTGTTGCCCACTAGTAATATAACTATGTTTGGACTGGCCAGTGTGCGAGCATCGTTTAACCAATTAGTCAAGGCATTGAACGAATCCCGCGACGTGCTATCATACACCAAAAGAGCGCCAGCGGCGCCACGATAATACGAACGGGTTACTGAACGGAATCGTTCTTGCCCAGCTGTATCCCATATTTGAAGCTTCACCGATTTCCCACCCACATTAACAATCCTCGATCCAAACTCAACGCCAATCGTATGGGAGCTGTCGTCTTTAACTTGATAGATAAGGAAAACATACATAACATGTATATAAACTGTAATCACGTAAATTTAACACTTGTTTACAGGATTTAGGCGCATGTGTAGCACTATGCATTTTCATACAAATTTAATAAAAAATTGGGATTCACATCGATATATTGGTAAAATAATGTATGCTATATATATTCATCGTTATAAATATATATATATATATATATATATATATATATATATATATATATATATATATATATATATATATATATATATATGTATAACGATGAACTTAAGTGTTAATCAATTAGCGTTTTCTCTGTCTATTTACCACCCAGTCTTCCCAATCATCAACTTACATTTACTTTCGATGAAATGATGCAAGAGACAACTTTTGCCGCTGCCCGCGCTGCCGATTATGAGAAATTTAAACAGGTAATCTGCAAGCAAACAAATTTAGTTACTAATTAATGCTAGATAATGCTATAAGCAATACAAACCGTATGTTTCAGACATGTTATTTATTTTTGCGTCGTTATTTCTTTGTTGCTGTGCTTGTGTTTAGCCTTTACAACTGCGCGGTTTTTAGTCTTGAATTACGCCTGCAGTGTTGCTGTAAGAGGTCAGAAATTGAAAATTGATCTCTTTAAAAATGATTGCATTGTTTTTAACTAGAAAGTGTTATTGTTCACCTGCTGTACAACCACATGCATATAAACATACATATATAAATATGCACACATGAAAGTGACTCATGAACTGCATTTGAGCTGAACTTGTTAGTTCTTGATTTAGTTCAGGGGCCAAAGTATTTTACCTCTTTAAAAGAACTGTCTGCTTAATATTTTAACTTTAGAGTTAGAAGTATATGATTTTTCTTTTCACGGACTCAAGTAAATGATCATTATATTATTACATCCATTTATTATTAATACAGTTTTCGCTTGATAAATTTATTATATTTTATTTTATATTATTTCATTTCCTACGTATCCTTTTTCTCTTCTGTATAATTTTGGTAACAATTGATAGGATCTTTTGCTGTGTAAGCCGAATATGCTGTCTTGCTACGTTCAAAATTCTGAAAATACAAAAATTTACAGTGATCACTGGAATTCTCAGCTGATAACATCTCAAATTGGGATAGCTTACTTTAATATCACCGGTTATCAATATCCACAAGTAAATAAATACGGCTGGCATCAAGCTAGTGAGCACAACCAGTTCAAATTGATTTAGCTCACCAAAAATAGCAATATTCATTTTAATAAAGTAATAATTTAATATAAAATGAATTACAATGCAAATGCAAAACTGCAAACGATGACAAATTGTTGATATTCACGTAGTCCACTTGAAAGGGTTGCCAATGTTTTCATCTTTTGAAAGATCCTAATATATGGAAAAAAGTAACTAATATCAATAACATAGTGCTAGTATTTTTAGATTTTAAACACGTTTTTTCTGTATTTGCATTTTGATAGGGCTTCTACTATTTAATTTGGGTTTAATTCGAATAAGAATTTTTGATTAGGAAAGTGAAAAAAGTATTTTGATTGGCCAGGGATACCGCACAAGAGTCTTCTTCGTGGCTCTTTGTATTTGATATTTTTTAGTGCATTGTATTACGGTCTTACAGCAGTAATCGGTGGATATTTATTAGCTACAAAGACTTATTTAAATCGAAAAAAATGGCTTTCCGTATACCTTTTGGCAAGAAACACGCTGAAATCGCATCATCCTTGTAAGTATCAATAATGTTTAAACAATGTTAATGCATTTATATTAAACAGGAAAGAGAGAACATGCAACCACATTGCATAACCAATAATCATCAAATCAGACAATTCTAACATTAATAATGTTACCATTTATATTTTTAGCGTACGGTCTGGCGCAGGTTTCGGTGGTGCCGCTGGCTTGGCCTTGCTCTATTACACCGACTGGAAGCTGGTGCTGCAATACATGCCCATCTACGGTTCCAAGTTCGACAAGAGCGATTAAGCCAGACGTAGACGATGTTTAAACTCTAGTTGAAATATGTTTAAATATTGGTGAATAAAATAAGTTCAATTCGATGTTTGAAGTTTGTTATCCTTTCCATATTGCCAGACAATATGATTTATTATTTCCGCATATATTAATATACATATGTGTAAGTACAAGTATTATGCATAACAATGGTTACGTTCGGACTTCTTGTAGATTTCAAATTGAAGTTGGTTCATTGATTCGTTAATTTATATTTCGATTTCACTATCTAGTTAAAGTTTTAGTGCCTTAAGTACATTACTTAATCTAGTTCGATTAAAAAATCGTGTAAAAACTACATATTCGAGCATTTGTGTTCGAAGTAAAGTACTAACTATTCTTTTTCGAAAAGAGAAATTGTTAAACATTTGTGGAAGCACGAATCGACCGGCGATTAATTTCGAAAGAACAAAAGTTGAGGAATGTAAACTAGGTTAAATATCCGGTTCCACAAAGGAAGCGGGAAATAAACCAGTTTTATGTGTGCGAGCATGTGTCCCTTTATACCATCCGTTCTTTTGCTTACGCTGTACGTAAATGATATCACCTGGCCGCAATTCCAGTTCAATTTCACTATTCGGCGGATAGGGCACAATGCACCGAAAGCGACTGCAAAAAATATTGAGTTATACAGTATAGAGCTTATATCAAATGAAAATCGATGATCAACTCACCTCTCTTGCGTACAGTAGACCGACTTTGTCGTAGCACTAGCCTTGATGGCGGCTTCTGTTATAATGTTGCTATTAGCGTTTAGATTGCTGTTGATGTTGCTATTGCTGGCACTTAGTAAATGACCTGCGTCTAGGCTCTGACTCTTGCGGTGATTGGGCGTTAAAATCATGTTGGCATGCAGCTGTGTTTGTGTATGGCTTGAAGGTGGAGGTGACGACGCGGCATTGTACATGCTGCGGAACGTAGCCGCATCCAAGGATTGTCTAGCACTGCCATGAGAAAAATCAGAGCGTTAGCTGTGTTCTACTGTTATATTATATTACTCAAAAACTAACCAGAGTAACTGCGGGCGATCCTTGTTGCTTTTGATACGCTGAGAGCCGTATGAGCCGTTCCTATTATCTTGATAGAGTTGGGCAGCATTTGAAGGAGTTGCTGAAGATGCTCCAGTGGTTTCTTTCAGTTGCTCACTTTGCTGCAGCTGACTGGGACATGAGCCAGATCTGAAATGAAAATACATTAGCTATGCAGCTTTGTTTAGAGTTGAAGTTTGCACGAACCTCACGTGCACTGGATGTAAGGGCGCGGCTTGGACCACATTTTCAGCTGCTGTGGTGCTTGAGTCCTTGTTCGCCAATTGCTGTTGCTTCGGCTGTAGTGAAGCACCTGGTGATTTGGAGCGGGTCTTCATATGAGTCAAACGGCGCATAAGACCCACAGCGCCAGAGCTGCTGCCCACACTGTCCGCCCTGCTTTCAGTGTGGCCACCGGACTTTCGGCTAAATAACGCCTCGACGGGCTTAGTCCAGACGGAGCTGCTGGTAGTTGTTTGAGACTCTTGTTTGTGATGTTGCTGACGCGGCGGTAAATCTGGCGGATGGATAGGCAGCATATTGCTGAGACGCACATCCAGCGTTTGGGCTGGTGTACTCATATCCGTCGAGGGTGGCACATATTTCCACTGATGCATCAGCTGCTGTTGATCGCGTGTGCGCAATGGTGTCAGGTAGTTGCCCGGGAACACTCCTGTAATATCTAGCCAGTTTTTTCCCTTGAACCAGCCATCGACACATCGTTCAGTAACTATGTAAACGCAGCCCTTTTTCAGTTCTAGCTCATCGGCATGTCGCGGCTTGTAGGCAAATAATGCGAGATATCCCCAAGGTAGCGTAGGCTGCATTTGTTGTTGATGCATCTGAGTCTTAAGCACTCGCGACGTTTGCGACGGCTGCATTATGACTGCTGTGGAAGTGGATGTGGCTGTGGCTGCCTGTGAGCCGACCTCCAACCGATTGAGCTCATGGGGCAAGCTCAGTATCTCAGCTGAATGTCGATTCGTCTGCAATAAACTAAGTGGCGCTGGTTGCAGCAAAGCATTCAACGAGTGACGCTTCTCCTTGGCTCCCTTGTCACGATAACGCACCGATCCACCTCCAGCTACAGACAGAGCCGCAGCTGCAGTCACAGCTGCTGCATGTTGTGGGGTATTGGGAAGCGATTGATGGTTAGGACTGCAGTTGTTCGAGCTGCTGGTAGAGCTTGAATTGCTGCTACTGTTGTTGATGGAGGAATAGCTGTTGGAAGACCCAGTGCTGGAATCATTCGTGATGTGGGTGGGATCGATAAGTGGCACAGGCGGTAGAGCGCGTTGCTGCATTAGTTGTGCCTGTGCCTGTGGTAACGGATTTGTGGCGCCGCTATCCAATAGCTTCTTTGCAGCTGCATTTAGCTCAACGAAGGCTATGGGAAATATGCCAATCGTTTGTCCAATGCGACCCTCTGCCCAATTGTGATCGACGCGTCGAAGCACATGAATCACGGTGCTCTTTTTAAACTCCAAGCAGCCCTCCTCATCGCTGGGGCCCATTTTAAAATCGTACATGGCGATGCACTGCGGCATGGGCAACGCGACAACTACTTTGACGTAATTAATGGGAAATGTGCCCTCTTGCCCGTTGGCCTGGCCCACAAACCAGTTGTTGTCGATGCGCTTCTTCAGCAAAATTAAGTCTCCCTTCTTAAATTTCAGATCGTTCACTTCACCACTCAGGAAATCAAAAAGCGCGTAAGCGTGCGGCAACAGAAATCGTCGCGGTTTTTGGCGAGTTGCTTGATGTTGTTCCGGTTGCGAGCGTGGTTGTTGTTGTTGCTGTTGGTCTTGGTAGCGCTGCTGCTGTTGCTTCTGTTGCAGTTGTTGTTGCGTGGGCTGAGCTTCTTGCTGCAGTTGTATTTTGTTTGGCAACTCTTCGATTTTAGTGTCATTTTTGCCAGCATTTTGCTTCATACCTATATTGAGCAACAAGTAAGAAATAAAGTATTAGCTACGTGGCTGCCCACACACATGGAGCACTCACCTTCTAAGATTCTCATTAGTAAAACATTTGGCGGCAGATCATCGATGCGGCAATTCACCAAGACACGGCATTCTGGACATCGCAGCTTCTGCTGACTGGCGACAATGTCCTGTAGGAAAATCAAAATTAATGAATATAGCGCAAAAATAACATCAACACACTCATCACTCACCAGTAAGCATTTGCGACAGAAGGTGTGTTGGCATGGCAAAACTTTGGAGGTGGTGTCCAAACGTTCCAAACACACAGAACACTCCAATAAGTCATTTAATGTGTGTTCATCCATTTAATTTTATTTAATATGTATTATTTTGCATAATTAATACTAAAGTCCCTTGCCGTCACTCTTCCCTTCACTTCAATAATCTCAAGGATGGTCACAATTTGAATTTCGTGCAGAGCAACATTCCAAGCACACACAATTACACACATATACACCGCGCACACGTACCCAGTGGAGAAGTGGAGCTTGTTAAATACATACAAAGATACAACGAAATTATTTAGTTTTTAAAACTCCACTATAGTCTAATTTATAATTTGTACACTACATTTTCATTGTTTTATTTTTTAATAAACTAAATGTGTGGATTTCTTAAATTATTAATATAAAAATGCAGCCAGCGTGCAGCTCGTGGCCATCATCGAAATGTACAACTACAACTACAAATATGCATACATGGATACAAACCTGCTTACCTCTGAGCTACAGTTCGACACATACAAATAGAAGCACTTGAAAATTGTGTTGAAAGTGGGACTTTCGTAATATTTTTCAATACAAGGTATTATATGCTGAGTATATAGTAATCTAACTTTTAGCAATCATATTCAATATTTTTAATCATTTTCCATTGAACATAGTATATTCAACATAGTTTTAAATGTTGATAATGTTACTGTTATGTTCGGTGGTGTAAAAAAAAACAGAGTGCCCAGATCGATTTAAAGAAAATTCTACTATAAAATTTCTGAAGACGGAGCACACTTTCTGTGCAAGTATGGTTAGTGGTATTATTTTATTAAAGGCCATAATAATTCGCGGAACATTTTGGAACGGGGTTCTACTATTGGTATTTTGTTTTCTTACTTTAATGGATTATCTTATTGAAACCTTAAATAAATATCGATAAGGTCCATATTTAAAATATCGATATTGTGCTTAGATAAAAATATCCCTCTCAACTTGAGAGTCTCAACCTAACCTCCCTTTTACGAACAGAACGTGTTTGTTTTGATACGTGCGTGCTGTAAGAACAGCCGCTAAATCGTACTTGAGCGCGTAAATAAAATATAATTACGATGCCGAAAGTGCGCAGCACTCCGGGCAAGCCCCGGACACAGGGCTTTAACCATTCCAACCATTCTATGAATCCGGAGCGACCAACAAGTGGCCTTAAAGGTGTAGCCCACCCACGTACCAAGGGCACGATTAAGCGGTTGCAGATGTATCGTAATTTCAAGGCCAAACGCGATCGTACTGGAAAAATTATTACCCCAGCACCATTTCAGGTAATATTCATATGTAGGCATTGAAGATGCTTAAGATAATCGAGTTTTGTTCCGTCCTCAGGGTCGTCTGCCCGCTGGAACAATGGCTAGAGTGGAGCCAACACCGAAATGGTTCAGCAACTCGCGTGTCATTTCGCAAACAGCGTTACAAAAGTTTCAGGATGAGATTGGCAAGGCAGTCAAAGACCCATATCAGGTCATTATGAAACCCTCGCAATTGCCCGTGACGCTGCTGAACGAAGCGTCGAAGTATCAACGAGTTCATTTGCTAGAGACGGAGAGCTTTGACAGCGTATTTGGTCCAAAAAAACAACGCAAACGTGTCAGTTTAAAAGCGCGAGATCTCGAGGATTTGAGTCGTGCTGCCGATGTGCAGGCCAATCAGTATGATTCCACCAAAGATGTGGATCTCATACGCGAAGATACTGGTGAAAAGAAGGCTGTGCGAGATTGGGTATTCGGGGCAGGTCAAAGCAAACGTATTTGGAATGAATTGCATAAGGTTGTGGACGCTTCGGATGTGCTTCTGCAGGTTCTCGATGCCCGCGATCCTATGGGTACACGTTCCAAGTATATTGAGGAGTTCCTACGCAAGGAGAAACCGCACAAACACCTCTTCTTTATCTTAAACAAAGTAGATCTGGTGCCTGTGTGGGTGACACAGCGATGGGTGGCAATCCTTAGTGCCGAATATCCTACAATAGCTTTTCATGCGTCCATGCAGCATCCTTTCGGCAAAGGTAAGTCTTGCGTAAGTAGTCCTCAGCTTGGTCTCAAAATACTTACAAATACTCTTTGACAGGTGCACTGATCAATTTGTTCCGGCAATTAGGTAAACTGCACATGGATAAGAAGCAGATCAGTGTTGGTTTTATTGGCTACCCAAATGTAGGAAAATCTTCTGTTATTAATGCATTGCGTTCCAAAAAGGTTTGTAATGTAGCTCCTATCGCGGGTGAGACCAAGGTTTGGCAATACATAACGCTAATGAAGCGAATATTTCTGATTGATTGCCCCGGTGTGGTTTATCCGTCTGCCGAAACGGACACGGAGAAGGTGCTAAAAGGTGTAGTTCGCGTGGAACTCGTCACCAATCCGGAAGATTATGTAGACACAGTTTTAAAACGTGTGCGCAAAGAGTATATTGCAAAGAACTATAAAATCGAAAGCTGGACATCATCCACACACTTCCTCGAGCAACTGGCCAAGAAAACTGGTAAACTATTAAAGGGTGGTGAGCCGGATATCACAGTCACCGCACGCATGGTGCTCAATGATTGGCAGCGTGGCAAGTTGCCCTTTTATGTGCCACCGGAGGGCTTTGCCATACCCAAATCACAGGAGGGCACATCCCCTGAGCAGGCCACTCCTGAAGAGACCGCTGTTAAGGACGATGAAGATGCCAAATCGGAGGCACCTACGTTTGTGAGCGAATCCGTAAAGAAGGCACGTGAGTTCAAGCAGATACAAGACTTTCGTAAGATTCGTGTGGGTCTGGAGTACGAGGAGCAGGACGAGCGCGAGCTGGACCACATTGATCTGGAGCTTTTAGAGCAGCAGAAGGCAGAACGAGCGGCACGGAAAAAGGCGCGTCTGGTCAATCCAGAGCAGGAGGACGATTCTAGTGATGGCGCCAGTGATTTCTATTCAGAGGACGAATACAATGAAGAGCTGCAGCGCGTGGTGCACAAGAAAGCAAAGGCCAAAAAGACCCAACAACTAGCTATCACATCATCCGGTAAATTCCGTATTGCCAAGGTCCAGCCAGGGGATTCGGATGAGCAGAATGAAAGCGACGACGATGGTCCATCCAGCGCTAAGGTGCCACGACTCAATGCCAAACAGAAACGGGCGCTGGAACGCAGCCAGAAACGCAAGAAAATTGGCAGCAATTTCTATGAGACGACGAATGTGAAAAATCGCAATCGCAACAAAAAAAAGGACACGTAGCCATTTTTTTCTATCGCTAGTTTATTATAATTCACTGCAGCAAAACATAATTAAGAATCCACCATAAGTTGTTGCCCCAAAATACAAAAGAAACTTATTCACTCGGCGCATTGTTTCTTTTTGATGACCTTGCGTCCACATAGGTCGGCCAGGCTACTCTTATCGTGGTCATGCTCTTCTGTGTCACTGCTACCATCCGAATCGCTAGACTCCGTGTAGGAACCAATGCCAGGCAATATGGCAATACACTTTAAGCTGCCCACATCGTGCTTGCTTGATTGTGGGGAAACAGCTGTCGATGCCGTTTTTTTTGTGGGCGTGGTCTGCTCTGTTTTTGTAGCCTTGCTGCTGCTTGTGGGCAACTCCCCATTTTTGCGCTTGATGCCCTGTCCAAGTAGGGACTTTTGTGTATTGCGCAGTGTGGTCGGAGCGCCAACGGATTTGGCGGTAGTTTTTAGTTCCGCTTGAAGCTTCTGTTGTGATAAACAATATTGATTATTATTAGAAAAATGTAATTCGTGGCAAGTCCCTCCACCTTGTCTACGCTCTCTTCCTGAAGTTTCTCAACACGATTTCGAAAGTCCCTCAGTTCCAGTTCCTCATCATGCATTTGTTGACGCTCAGCATTCATTTTGTGAGCATCGACCAGCTCCAGGAACTGCACTTCATCATCGTCCAAGCCGCGAATCAAGTTCTCTATGTATAGACATTTGCAATAACTTATGCGTTCAATATATAATTTCTTGAGCATACTCAATTTGTGGGCTTCCTCGAATTCCATATCCTTTTTTGTTTTCTGCTCTTTCAAGCGATCATACAGGGAGCGACCGTCATATGGTTCCTCTGGTCTCTCCAACGGATCCTCGGGCTGGCGTACACGTTCCCATTCTTCCTGACGACGCTGTCGGGCTTCCGCTGCCTCGGATTCAGTAACAAACCCGGAACTCATTTTAATGCAAAACAAAGTAGTTAATATGGAAAATGTGTCGAAGATGTTGATTTGTCGTGAACAGTGTTGAAAAGCGTTGTTTATTTTAATCAATTGAAAAATATCGATAGCGTCGTAGATAAGTGTGCGCGCACATTACAGTTTTTCAAATGTATAACGGTGTAAGTCTTTATTTCAACCGCGATTTGCGATTCATTTGCGCAATTTGATTGTAAATAGCTTTTTGAGCCTTGCTCATTTGGCGCCACTTTTTACTAGCCATCTGAACTACTGTTGTGACTTTTATATTCACCACGCCACGTGATTTCAGATTTTCACGAAATTTCGCGAGAAATAAAAAATACGGATTTATTAGTAAATTTCCTGATATATCGCACATTTTTATATACTTCTCTATCAACTATTTGTTACAACTATAAATTTATCAACTCCTAGCTAATTATGTATCTTTTTACATTTGATAGAACAGTCAAAGCTAAGCAGACTTACATATAGTAAGAAAAACGTGAGATTAATGACCTAAGCACATGTGCACATATATGTTCATATGTACATTCAAATGCGTTCCATCGTTTTCCAATTCTATAAATGGAATAGTAATTGAAAGTGAATAAAATATGAAATGTCACAATTGCCTGTTCATAAGCAGAAATGTTTTATTTGGAACTGTTCAATAAGGCGAGGACTAGTTGCTGTAAAGAATTTCTCCGGGAGATGTGATATGTAATCTTACGGGATAGTAGGCAATACGCGCAACACTCCCCGTTAGTCTTAACAGGGTTTCCCAAAATTTATTAGCAGTAAATAAAGGACTAATACTCAAGGTACATCTCGTCCGCTCTGGAATAGTTTCTTGACTATAATAATTGTTCAGATTGAACAGATTGTATGAATAAAATTAGTTTTTCGCGCTACGCCACTCCCTATTAATAAGAAATTCTTGTTGATATTCTGATAAAGTAAGTTTAATTTTGCTATCATTTGCACAGTTATGATTATTTAGTAAGTGAACCCCCATATATCTAAATTGATGCTTTAGAGGGAAGCCCGAGTAGTAAACATCCCGAAATATGCGCACTACTAATATTCCGATATATAACCTACATGGAATACAGCTCACGTCCACACGCGTAAACATAGTGGCTGTATTGGACTGAACAATAGGACTTAAATGAAATTTACTCAAGATCTTTATAAGGTTAAAAGAACTAACGTTTGTAAAAATATCCATTGGTATGAAAAAGTAAGACTAGTTTAGATTGTCTTCCGTAATCTTTAGCTATATACATATGAAATCGTAATTTATTTTATAATTATCACTTTATTATGTGATGCCAAGAAACTAGCTAAATTTGTCCATTAATGACGGAAAAATTTGTTTCTGTACATTTATTATATGGTATTATTTATTAATATCTCAATAGGAAAAATGTTTTAGTCAGGATCATACATTTATTGAAAATTGATAGTATTAGTTATATAATATATATATATATATGTATATGCGAATATGCCGTTCTCCAAAAAAGAGCTATAGGATTAGCAAAATACATGGTATACATATGTATGTTATAGACGGTTTGGCATGATCTTTTTTTTTTCTTTTTTCTCTCATTTTCATTTTCGTTTACATTTTCATTTGGTTTTCTGCTCTTGCAGTAATAAATATTTTTCTACAGTATTCATTTACGTTCAGTTTATAGACATAATTGAGGTCAGCATACATTTCCACAAACATCAAAGGTTATACACACATGCATGCATTAATAGATTTTTGTGTAGTTGTCTAGTCTATTAGAGTTCTCGAAGCGAACGTAAACAATAAATATGTGTCTACATATTATGAAATACTGCTAGGAACTTGTGTACCTATTTAAAATTGAGCTTATAAAATGCTGCATGAATTCTTCTCGCGAAATGGATTCACCTTTTGACTGGTGAATCCACTTAACAGACAATCATCCGACTCATGATCTATGATATATTTCATCATGGCATTACACGCCTCCGACACCTGGATGCGGTGTATTCCCGCCTCACGACGCAGTTGCTCATTGATGGTGCGCTGCTGTTGCAAATTCGCAGCCATAATATCTAGAACGGCAGTCTCGGCAAGACCTATGGTGAAAGTCAATACTATTTGTTGCTAGCGAATATTGTTTTGCTGCAAATTGAGGCTGTTTAGCTCTAAATAGTTAAAGTGAATGTAATAGAATTTACCTTTAAAAGCTGTTTTTAGCCGCAAGCTCGAGCTGTTGAATCGACGAAAAATCAATAGCGTTTGATTCAATTAACTTGTATCGCTCTCAGTCGAATGAATAACTATCGATAATAAAAGCAACAGGAGCAGCAGACGCCACTGTTGCAACTTGCAACAGCTGATACGGCGCTGCCATATTGTTGAAAAGTAAAAACAGTTTTGGTATTTTTTTTGTATCCGTTTTATTTGAAATTGCATGTTAACATTTGTTTTAATTATTTAAAAAATATAAATATAGCATATTTCTCTGTAGTTAGGTACCTCAATTGATTTGCTACGTAAGCATGCTAAATAATAATAACATTTAATATGTAACTTGTGTATTCTCATTTGAATATTTTACTTACTCTGGCATTAAGTCTGGTTGCGCAAGTTCTTTAATGTTATTGTTATTGACTGCTTGCAGCTCCTTGTTAAGCGCGAGCTGACCATTGGACTTTCTAAAAGCATTTGCCATCAGTAGTATATTCTTTGCAATACGCTCATCATCTATGCGCTTCTGCGCCGTATGCGTGCGCTTATCGGCATTCTCCGACATTCGTTGCTCCAATGGTAGGATGGCAGCTGGAATAGCTGATTCCGGATTTGTCCAGATTTCGGTGCCGGGCGTTTCCTTACCCGTGGTGGGCGAAATGGCTGGTCTTGCTGGTATCAAAGGTGAACGCACACAGACACTAATTATGGAACAAAAACAGAACTTGAATTTTATTTGCTTAGATCACTAGTCACACTCTAAATTCGTTTTTTGAAAACATGATTTGTCTATTAAATATTGTTCAATTTGTATTTTATATAGCCAATTATGCCCCAGCCCCTGCCCCCGGCGCTGGCTCGACACATGGCTCATTGTCCTCGCTCGGTTTCAACCTATAACGATTTAGAAAGGAGACGACAATGAGCCAGAGTGTTGTGCCCTCAATCGATGGTTCGAGTTTCGTTCTTACTTACTTGTTCACTTCCTCCAATTTCTTGAGCAAACGCTCATTTTCCCGGCATACGATCTCTTGATCCCTTAATATGGTCTCGCGCACTGTGAACAAATGGTTATTTTCTTGTCGCAGAGATTCATTCTCTGCCATATACAGCTTCACAAGCTCTGCCAGTTCGCTGCCATCGAGCTCTGGCAAACGCTCTAAGTCCATCTTTGGTACGGGAATGCCAACATCTCCAGTGTGAACGCGCTCCAGTTGTAGCTCCAAGAGATTGTCCATCGGCTGAGACGCCTGATGATGCAGATTCAGCGCCGCTTTCAGATGCTCATTTTCCATCTGCAGTGCATGGATGTCTCGTTTGAGACTAAGAATAAGAGCCTCTCGCGGATCCATCATGATGACCGGCTTTGTCCGTATACGCTTCGCTCGTGATGCATAGCGCAGCGTATTCAGCGTCTCAGCGTGATTATAATGTGCCGGCGAGACGCAGGCAATCATCAGTGTAACCCCATTCCCGGCTAGACTGTCGGCCAGCAGCTTTGTTAGCTGACTATCCCGGTACGGAATGTGTCCGGTACGTTTCTTATTATCGCTCAGCGACGAAATGCAGTAGCCTAGCACCATGAGACTCTTGTTGATATTGTTCGCCTCCTCCAGCGTCTTACCCTCACTCATCGTCTTCTTCGTCAGCTCGCTTCCAGCCAAGTCTACAAAGTTAATCTTGCCGTGCTTGGAGAGAAAGACGCCACCATCTGTTTGTTGGTCCGACAGTATGTGGACCGTTAGTATTGTATGAGAACGTGATGAATGATCATTCATCGCATGCGAGCCCACAGAGCGATTTCTCATACCTAAAGTAAAGTAAATATTTTCTTCAACCTACTCATTTTTTTCTTTCTTCTTCACTTACCCTCTTCTAACACGGCCAGTAAATCGTCTAGTTCCTCGCAGTCCACCGTAAATAAGTTCTCCACAAAGAAACCGCCAGATTTTTTGGACCAGCGCACGGCAAGAGGCTTACGAGCGCTTCCCGGATTAAGCAAATCGATTACCTGTTCATGAAAAATGCAAATCAATTTGCAAAATCAACTGTTACGTAAAAGTTCTCTTTGCGCAATTGCCTCACTAGACTAACAAATCATCTAAAATGAAAAGTAAATTTCTAGCATAGCTACAATTTGACCAATCCAGTCGCAGATAGAGGAGAAGGTGGCGGAAATGTGGGGATGACATGTTGACCTCCATCAAATAGAGGTCAATGCAATGCATACTAAACTAGTCCAATGATATTTGCAGATGGCTCCAACGGAAAACCAATCACTATTATTATTGGATATTAAATTAAGTTCCCCTACATTACGTAAGTCAAAGGCGAGTTTAATAAAATGTACATAGTAAAAAATAAATAAATACAATTATAAATACAAATTACTACTATATTATGATATAGATTGTCATCATGCATTTAATGCAAATTCTATAATAATGCAGATGTGATAAAAATTATTAAATAAATGTAGTATATTTAGGATATTGATTATTTATATCTATATATAAAACAAAGTCGTGTTATGTGTTATAACATTTATAACTCGAGATCTGCTGGACCAATTTTCATGGTTTTTGATTTGTTGGATTTATCTCCATCTTAAAAAATACTACAAAATTGGCGAATACTTGAAAAACGCGGTATTTTCCCTATTGCTATTGAGAATCTTTGCATTGTCATTGAGACTTGATTGAAGCAGTAGGCTTCGGTCATGCTCTCATGTAAAAAAAATTTATTTTGTGTAAATGTCTTTCCATAGGTTTTCTATGATTTTTCTTGATCAGCTATTATGTATGTCTCGATTGTATTATGTGGTTTTGTGCGAGTGCATATTCTGTATTACTACTAATAAAAATGCCTCGTCCTAGAAGATCTAATCTTACCCAGCGGACCCGTAATGCAATTAGCCAACGGAATATCGTGAGTTAATTATCTGACGAAGAACGAGAAATTGCCCGAGAAGAGCGCCGCGTTAGTATTGAGCAAAGAAGGGCCTTAATTCGTGCTTCTCAAATACAAGTGCAAAGAACGGCAGCCTGTGAAACGGCTAGATTAGAAACGAGAAATCGTCGAGTTTATCGAACAGAGGAATAATCTTCGAAATGCAAGAAGAAATGGTTTAGGTATTGATTTGAATCGAGTAGCGTTTCGATATGATTACACCATCGACTACATCTTGCATCGTTTAGTTTGCACTGGTCCAATGGACGATGTTTGCCAGCATTGTGGCGCATTGAAGTTTGCTGATGTCTTAGTGGTAAAGTGGCATTGCCATTAGTGATCCCGCCACCAGAGCCATTGCGTTCCCTACTAGAATCACGACATTTTCTAGCGAGCACTCAAAAATACAATGCCTGTTTCCAAATGACTTTATTAGGGGCGGAAAATTTTGAAGAACACGGATATAATCCAACAATCGATGAAGTGGCAATCCTGATTGCTGGCGAAAACTTGGAAGCACGTGTTATTGTGCTTACACGACGCAATACTGGGCAACTACAAAGAATATATGAAACGCACCGTTCATATGACGCGTTGCAAGAGCCGCTGATGTTTTGGCAAGGAGACGGTGGATATCACTTTAATATCAAAATGATTAATCCATTGAATGGTAAGATCAATATCATTGTTTCCATTTTAACTTGATATACATTTTATTCTGTTTGCTTTTGGTACACAAAAAAAAGTTATCACTCTTAGAGAGTAGCTTATTAGGGGTTCTAAAATACAATTTTTACTGTATTTTTTTCAGGTGGGGAAACTACCAAGAAGGTTAGTTCGATGAATTATTACGCATTATTTTTGATGATTCGTGAAAATTCTTTCAATTATTAATTATCTATATTAATATTGTTTTGTATTATTGTATTACGTTCATCGAAGCCTAAATTAGTTAATCTAAAAGGGAACACGACATTACTTACTGATTTTGATACAAAAATTTGACAGCTCCGAAATTAAAGAACTTTTAGGGGAAAAAACGTATTTTTCAAATATTCGTAAATTTTTCAGTATTTTTTAAGATATATTCAGCTATTCGGGGTGGAGACAAATCAAACAAATCAAAAATCATAAAAATTAGTCCAGCAGATCTCGAGTTATAAGTGTTGTAACAAACCCGACTTTGTTTTATATATATAGACTGTTAGGCGGTACGAAGTTCGCCGGGACAACAAAATATAAATATAAAATAAAATAAATTTTATGAAATGTAAATTGAAATACATTGAGTACAACTTTTGTGGTTTTATGTGAGTAAAACCAAATACGAATAGTGACAGTTTTATTAGTTAGTGGTTTTGTACAATTATGAACCTTAGCATGTGGTTTTGCTATATTCTCACCCGTTCATTGTAAATCTCCATAAACGAAGCCTTAAGCACATAATTAACATCCGTGCGATTCTTAATCAATTGGAAGAGATACACAAACGAACGGAATATGAGGCCATGCCGTGGATCCTTCAGATTGGGCTTGCCCACAAACTGCATGGAGAATGATATTGAAACGTATATTTTATATAATTGTACTGATCCATTCACTTACCAAATCTGGAGGCCCAGTTAGGGTATGCGTCTTCCCTGAGCCTGTTTGTCCGTAGCAAAACGCCGTACAGCTGAAACCCTCAATGCCCATCTCAATAATGCGCTTGATGCCCGAATAGTCGAGTATATCCTCCTGTGTGGCACCTGGCTCAAATACCACGTTGTACGTGAATACCCGCACACTGTCGCGGTTGTGCGAGCGCTTGGCGCCCGTGTCGTTGCCCTCGATCTGTGTAAGGCAGGCTTATGTTACTTTCTATTCTAAGAGCTTAACCCGTCTTGGACCTACGATGACTTGTCCATTGCCAGGAAACTTTAATGTGGCTCCGTGCCTGTCACGTTTCTCCTTGTCGTTTAAAGGCCGAACACGCACCACCACGTTGATATTGTCCTCTGGCGTTGAGGGCTCCTCGCTGCCCGTGCCTGTGCCTGTGCCCGTGCCCGTGGACTTGGAGGCCACAATTTCCAATGTGTCCGCGCTGCCAATTCTGTACAAGCAAACCCAAAACTCAATTATTAAAATTTTGTGGGGAAAT